GAGGGACTTAAAAAGTGTAGACATAGATTTTTCATATGGAGAGGAATTCAAGGTGATATAAAGAAATAAAAGACTGGTATAAACTTAGAAAAATAGGGGTAAATATTAAGGTAACCACAAAGGAAACAAAGTTAGCAGGGGGTCTGTAGAAAGCTAGGCAGCTGACATTTCCAGGGAGCAAGTTCCCAAATGCACTGCCAAGTAGCTGGAGCAAGATGCAGAATGTTGCCTGTGAAGACAGAGGGCGAGAGCATCTCTGCGCACAGGGTGACAGCACTGCCCTGGGCCCTCAGGGAGCCAGGATGCTAACAGGACTGGATGACAAGCAGTGGGGGCAGAGGCAGGCATGTCTACCTGCAGAGTGACCGATGGAGAACGTTCCTGAGCTCAGGCTCTGTGCTAAACATGCTGTGCTGTGCCCCAACTGTCCTGGGAGGTTGGACTGTCCTTATTCAGTCTCGTACTCTCTTGAGAGTACTAGAGAGACCCAGCAGGGCTTTGCCAACGCCTCCATCTGCTGTGGTGGAAGCTGCAGAGATGCGTCTTCTCCTCCCTTCAGGTTGTGTGTGTCCCCCTGTGGATTCTCATGTCCTTTCTGTGCCTGGTTGTCCTCTACTACATTGTGTGGTCCGTCTTGTTCCTGCGCTCCATGGATGTGATTGCGGAGCAGCGAAGGACACACATAACGATGGCCCTGAGCTGGATGACCATTGTCGTGCCGCTTCTTACTTTTGAGGTGAGCTTTGCTGAGGGGACGTTCTTCACATCCTGAGCCACACCCGCCCTTGTAACAGCAACCTGGACACTGGGGCAGCTGGCAAGCCTTTGAGCTCACAGGGTGCCAACTCCCACAGAGCCGCCTACAGAGATCGTCGGGAAAATTTTAGAACAGGCTTTCCTGTCTGGGGGTGGGAACCAGCCGTGAAAAGGGCCCCTTTTTAGCCAGGACGCATCCGTATTTATTGCTGCTTCTACTTTTTGAAAAGGAAGGTTGTATTTTGTATTTTACTTCTGTGGAGAACTGTACAACAGGTGCTGTTTGCTCCTTAGAACAAACACCAAGAGGACTTTCCCATGAGAAGCCCAGGTGATGGAAACCACTCTTGCTTAGTCCTGAAGAGGCACGTGATGCTGGGCTGCCCCTCCCCGACAGTGGGAGGGCGGCTGTGCTTTCCTCTGGTGCTCACTTCCCTCCCCGAGACCTGACGGGATGTCTAGTGAGGCCCTGGCTGCAGACTTCCTCTGACCACTTCCAGATGGTGCATCAGCATAACTTTGGCTGTTTCTTTCTTTAGATCCTGCTGGTTCACAAACTGGATGGCCACAACACTTTCTCTTGTATACCAATATTTGTCCCACTGTGGCTTTCGCTCATCACTCTCATGGCAACCACCTTTGGACAGAAGGGAGGAAACCACTGTATGTACACGCCGTTTGGAAGCCCGTGTGCGTGCGTGCGCGTGTGTGCGTGCGTGCGTGCGTGCGCACGCGCGCTCTGGGAAAGGTGGAGCCTGAGGGCTCCAAATGAAGGTGCTTGCCTGGGAAAGCTGGGGCTGAGGCGCATCTCAGGTCTTCAGCAGAAAGCCATGCCATCAGCTTGCTCTCCGCTGGCTGGCACAGCCTTTTCTCTAGCAGTGTCCGGCTGCGAGTTGAGGGATACCAGAACCAGCCATGCAGCCTCTCCCAAACACAGTCTTGTCAGTGGGACTTGACTGGTGCTTTCTTCTTTCCAACCCCACGGTGTGGTCCCCTCTTCGCTAGGCTTAGAACTCCTTTGCGCAGTAACCCCAGAGGCTGCCCTTCTGGAAGCCAGTGCAGTGGAGGTAGGGAAGGGCCTAGACTGCGGCCCTGGCTGGCCTTGTTGGCTGTGCACCAGGAGAGCCAGTGCTGAGCTGACCATCCTGTGGTGGACACAGGAAAGATGGGCCTCGTAGAAGTCACTGGAGGGGCCCCGTGAGCCCAGGCCTCCTGCTGGCCTGGACCAGCACATGCCTGACATCTCACTCATCCCAGTGGTGACGGAATTCCTCTACTTAGATGACATTCTATGCCCCACGCGAGTGTTTGGACCTGGGACAGTTAGAGGATGGCAGCATAGTCTAGGTGCCCACAGATATTTGAGCCTTGTTAGAGCCCTGGTTAGGAGCTTGGCTGCTAATCAAAAGGTTGGCAGTTGGAATCCCCCAGCCGCTCCTTGGAAACCCTATGGGGCACTTTTACTCTGTCCCATAGGGTCGCTATGAGTCAGAATCGACTCTACGGCAACGGCTTTGGTTTGGTTTTTTGGTTTGGAGCTGTGGCTCTCAACTGTGAGCACCCATCAGAGTTACCTGGAGGGCCTGGTCAAGTTCCAGGTTTTCAGACCTGGTTCAGTCTTCGTTTCTAGGGCATCAGAATAAAGCATTACCGTATACCAGTACAGCTTCACTTTCAGGAAATAAAATGTTATGTGAAACTCACTTGAACCTAGTTTTTGAAAAAGTGCTTTATTATTTTTCAGGGTGGTTCGGTATTCGCAAAGATTTCTGTCAGTTTCTGCTTGAAATTTTCCCGTTTTTAAGAGAATACGGAAACATTTCATATGATCTTCATCATGAAGACAACGAAGAAACCGAAGAAACCCCTGTTCCAGAACCTCCTAAAATTGCTCCTATATTTCGAAAGAAGGCCAGGGTAGTGATTACACAGAGCCCTGGAAAGTATGTGCTCCCTCCTCCCAAGTTAAATATTGAAATGCCAGATTAAAGTCCCTTCTTTCCAGGAGGGAACGTCGGTGGAGCGGACACACATGCCTCCCCCTTCCTCTGCCTCTGTGGGGACCCTCCACCCAGGACTGGAACTGGAGCTGGCTCCTTGGGGACTGTCATCTCATGCCTTGTTTGCATTCAAAGCCTATCTGTGACTCCCCACTGTGTGCCACAGAGGTGGAGGGGACTGGACGACGCGGTGTGGGGGGTGTCACAGGAAGTGTGCTTGAGGGAGAGTGTGGCCACAGGAGCAGGAGAAACTGACTTCCAGATGGGCCTGAGGAGCTGGCTCATCGTGGGGTGGCCAATCAGGCCCAAGAAGGGGTGTCTTCCTGGCTGTTGGGTAAGATGCTAAACTGGATCACGGTGTTTTGAAAGCATATCGGCCAGGATGTGTGGCCCAGACTTATCCTGCTGTGCATAGTCAGTAGGAGCTCTTCATGTCCTGTTGCCCACCGGTCTGTATGCCTTGCAGGCCTCACTTCCAGCGCCCTACCCTGGAAGGCATTGTTCTTGGGGCACGAGGATGGCAGTTTTTACTTAAAACCTCCTTGGCAAGCCTTGTCTCATGGAGTGACTCCATGCCTGTATAGTATTTATACAAATATTTTAGCATTGTGACAATACAGTGTGGAATCCTAGTCTGTACAGTCTATTCTGTTAAAGTATTTTTTTACAAGCTTGTACTAGAGATGGACATGTTCTGTGCTGAAGTAGAAACTGGCAGCATATTGCCCACCCGAACAGGGGCCACCTCACGGGACACAGCCATTCATCCACTTGAGGTTCTCCTGGGATGGAACAGCTGCTACTACCAGAACAGCCACCACAAGCGAGAAATGGTCCGTGCTGTTCCACTATCCAGGGAGCACTGGCTTGCCAAAAACAACAAAGCACTGTTTGAAACTAGAACCCTGCAGAAGGTGATCACAGACGAAACCTGAACAACAGAATCATGGGTAGCTCACATGTCTGCAGATTTTGGTCAGCAGTGACAAAGAGCGCTTTAGCCTGGGTCCTTTGCTTTTCACTCTGAGAGCAGTTTCTGTAAGCTCTGCTGGTATAGCCATGGAACAAAGGGGTAGAAACTAGTTCTTACAGCTAGGAGAACCTTCAGCTTGAAGAGAAAGGTAGCATTTTCTAAAGCAGGGAAAGAGGGGAGTTCACGTTCTCACGCAGGAGAGGTGAGGAAGAGTTTCAAAGCAGTCCACTGCTCAGTGGTCTGGGCTACAACTGAATCCTGTGAACAGCTCCTGCCCTGGCACAGGACCCCGGCAAAGCTGCTCTGTTTGAGGGAACAGGGTAAATGGGTGGTGTAGCTGTGCCCACATGCTGTATAAGAAGTTCAGCTAAACTCACGATTCCGTCTCCCTCAGCTGTTCAATAAAGCAGTCCCTCATTTTGAACGTTGCCCGTGGGGAGCTTGTCGTAGAGGTGGCCCAGGAAACTCAATGGGGGCTCAGCCAGTCTCAGCATCTGTAGCTGCACTGGCAGCTGGGCAGTAGTGTGTTGAGGGAAACCTTTCAGAACTAGTTGGCTTCCAGGTACCACCTTAATGGGATGGGAGAAAAGTAGGGATGGCATCAAGATTCCACAGTTGCCTAAGTGATGCTATGTCACCTTTTCTGCAGCCCATGAGACTCAGCCGAGTGTTCCGGGGGTTCCAGGACCATCTGCCACGGGATTCGAGTTTCAGTGGTTCTGCTGCATGGTCAGGGCTCGTCAGAAGCTGAGTATGGCTGATATTTAACCAAACACTCTTTCCCTGATTCCTGTCGAGCTCACTCGGCTGCCTCTGCCATTTAATGAGAAGGGAAATCAGGTGGATTGTCAGCTTGTGGTTTGTAGCGACCAAACAAGGAGATCTAGCTCTTGCTGTTGATTAAACGATGTCCCGTCACTAGCCAAGGGCACAAGCGAGCCTTGCTCAGGCTCAGTAGATTTCAGGCTTGTTGTCAAACACAACATCTTTGAAAGCAACGTCAGCAGTTCTGTCTTACTGCCAGGTACCTTGCTCCCTGGGTGGGTCTCACTGAATCCTCACAGCCCTGTACAGCAGCTGCTGCCACTGTCACCACCATGAGGAGACAGCTCAGAGAGTAAACACGCCCGAGGTGACACAGCTCGGACATGGCTGGGCCGGAATGCCAACCTCACCCTCCAAGTGAGAACCATGGCTCTCACCCACGGTGCAGAAGTGCCTCGGGCCTGAGTTCATGATTCCGCCTCACCTCTGGGGGCTGGCAATCTCTGTGCCTGGATCGGAGGGGGCGTCTTGGAGTGGTGCCCCCTATGTGGGTATGTGGTGGCCAAGGTGAAAAATGAGCTGGTGCAGGGCTTTGCTCTCAGGAAACAACTGGCATTACCCAGTGATGAGATCATAAGCATTAATTGCTTACACAGTGATTAGGAAGAGGAATTGGGCAAGATGCATCATGAGGTCAGTCTTCCTCAGACCCTCCTCCCAGGGTGAGTGGACAAAGGAAATGTCTTCTACGCATGCCCCACAATGCGCTGTAGACTGGAGACAAAGGGACCCGGGGCATATATACCTTAAACTGGAGGGGTATACTTGCTGGAGGGCATGGGAAAAGGGAGTAAGAGCAAGGGGCCTTTGTTCAGGCGCAGATGGCCTGCCCCATCATGGTACTACGAAGGTGTCTTTCTTCAGGTGCAAACAGCATAGCCATCCTGTGACCGAGGTGCGTAACCAGAAAGCCCATTCCTTTCCCACTAGCTATAAGATTAATTTTGTAAGCCTGCATTTTCTGTTTAATGATACCACAGGTTCAAAGTTGCCAGGAGAAGCTGCCATGTTCCTGCCTTCGGTCAGTCTGCTGCCCCTGGGTGCCCATGCACATCAGGGCTGCGGGGCCTGTTGTCCACAGGCCTCTGTTTCCTCACCCCCAGCCATGCTATTCCACTGTTGGGCCAACTGCCCCTGCTTCTCCGGCTACATGGCACCCATCGTCAGGCCTCAGGGTGCCCTGCCTTCAGGGACTCCCACAGATAAGGCAGTCGTTTTCCCAGGAAGGGTGCAGGTCAATAAAAGCACCAGAAAATGAGTGACCATCTGTCCGAGTGATGTCCCTTGTCTGTCACTTGGGTGTCTTTGCACTTGAGTCTCCCTCTGAGGTCTGCTTTGCTTGCACAGTAGAAGGAAAGGTGAGCACGCTGATCCCCGGCGTAATGCAGGCCCCTAGGAGATGAATGGGCAGGTTACGGGTGCGATAAAGCCCGTCGGACAGCCTGCGTCCACTCAGTAAAGAGCTGTCTGTAAAATGTTTGACAAGTTCAAAACGCCAGCGGTGCCTAATGATCACACTGTCTTCCTGGCCACGCAGGCACAGTTCTCTGTCCTCTCGGTGCCTTTGTATAACGGTCTTCAATGACCCATGAGGGAAGACCAAGTCTCACTTTATGACAGGACTAACACGTGCCCTCTCCGTCCCCCGACACCCCAGTGTGGAAGTGACAGTCAGTGCCCGTGAGTCCTACGGGTTTTCTGTTGAGAGGGGCTCATGAGTATGTGGGTCTCGCGGTTGACCTTTGACATTTATTCCTGGTGCTGTGTCTGAGAGCTTTTTCTTAGAACTAAAAATTTAGAGGATGTGATAGCTGCGCTTAGGAAGAAACTTTCCGGAGACAAGCCTTTCTCTTTCAAAGTCGCTTCTGCTTGCTTGGGGTGTCTAAATGAGAACGCACGCTCTCGTGGATGGGCCTCCGTAAAGAGTGCTGTGCCCAAACGAGCATGAGAAGGACCCTTTCCAGTTCTTACTATAGATAATTGGGCACAGACACCCAAAGACCTCCGAGATCAGGTGGCGGGAGAGCCCAAACCCCAACACTCCAAGGTGGCACTCTCCTCGATTTTGAATTTAGCCCAATGTAGGAGGGTCCTGTGACAGCTGAGGAGTGGGTGGGAAGCGAACACGTGGGAACGGCTGACAGAAGAGTTTGTAATCTCCATCTCGAAGTGACCTGCAGGTGGAGAGCCAGTCTAGCTGCTGTTACAAACCAATGCTTAGGTAGAAATGGGTGCCCATCACCTTTCCAAGCTTCATGCATTTGTGAGCGCTTTCACTTTTCAGGAGGGCATTTTTCTCATCTTGTAATTCCAGATACCTCTTGATCTTTGCTTGAGTCACGTGGAGATGATGCTCCTTACATCCACTTCAATCCACGAGAAACTTTCTCATGTGCAGATCTGCATAGCAAGGTGCAGGTCTGCACAACGTAGTACCGGGTGGTTTGCTTCTCACAAGGTTTGGCTTGAAGGACATGGTTTGTTTACAAAGCCTAGAGTGTATGACCCCAGTAGCAGACCTCCTCCATACTTCATTCTTACCATTTACTCATTTCTCCATTTTAAACTTAACACTTAAAGGAAATATGCTGACCTTGAGTCCCTCTGAGCAAGGACTAAGGGCTGCTTTCTAGAAACATCTGAGAGTAAAGTGAGCATGAACAGGTCTTAAGGGCTGTGCTAAGACAGCTAAACCGAGTCTTGACAACAAAGACCAGGCTGATCCAGAGCACAGGATTTGACTGTTGCCTCCAAGACACGATAAGGTGCACAGTGATTAGAAAAGTGTAAAACACCACTGAAGCAGAAGTGGTTCTAGACCTAGAGAGGGCTGCATAAAATGTGCATCAAGGTATGGAAAGTGTGACATGTTATGCTAAAGTCATACAGCCAGGTGGTTTGCTGTCTATGTATGATATGGAATACCTATACACACACGTGTGTGTATGTATATGTATATAGTATGCATGCACACACACATGCATAGATATATATGTAAACACACACATATATGAGAGTAACAATAGCCAAGCCTTTCGAAAGCACAATTCAGTATGGTTACTTTGGGCACTTGCTCTCTAACTACTGCCATGGTCAATACATCTTCCTAAACACCTGACAGAACCTTCCAGAAGCTGGTGCATTGGTTTGACCTCATCCGTATGACTGCAGAGACATCATGTGTGTCTTGTGGTGGGGGAGAGCATGGATACTCTGGACTCACTTCCCACCAAGCACTGCCCAGACCTCCTTTAGCCCCAGGTCAGCGAGATTCCAACATCAGTGCACCCCTACATCACCTCTGAGGTCCCCTTTCTCCCTGACACCTCTCCAGTGAAGGTGCCTACAGCCAAACAGTGACAAGTAGAGGGTGGAAAATAGGTAGAACGTTCCCCCATGGTCTGCCGAAACCCAGGAACGCTTATTCTGTGGGAATGTGTCCACCTCCTTCCTGTGTGTGCTGCCTCTTAGGGCGCAGTGACAGTGGTCTCCAGCCATCGTGACGCCTTGTTAGGTGAAACAGACAGACTACTGCCACAGGGACCAGTGGGCGCTCTGGGGCATAACCACAAAGACGGATGTCGTCTGTGAAGTGGCCGTAGGACCGTGGGCGAAGCAGCAACTAATTAAGGATCTTTGTAGAGGGGCACCGAGAGCTGAAGTCCTGTTCCCAGCAAAGGCTCAGAAATCACCAAGTAAGTCCTGAGAACAGTGGTTCTCACTCGACGGTGACTTCCCCCTCACCCCTGCCCCAGGACACTTGCCAATCAATATCTAGAGACATTGGGGCGGGGGTTGTGCTACCTGCTTCTAGTGGGTAGAGGGCAGAGATTCTG